TTGTGCAAAAGGCCACCCTAAGGCTCAGGAAGGTCCTATAGGGAATCCCTTTTGGGTTTCCTCATGTTGGTTTCGTCCTTCTAAGTGCTAGAAGTCGATACCACACACGCGAAACCTCCAAAAGAGGACGGAAATAGGTCGAACTAAAACGAGGCGGGCACCACTTCTAAGGTTCTAAGATAGTCGCAGGAAGACCCCTAAGGCTAGATCCTAACTCCTACGAGGAATACTAGACCTCACGAAAATTGAGGTCAACAGATATCAATCGTGATATTCTGAAATGCTCTTTGTCGTGAATGTCTTGTTCCTGGAGCCGGTGTCTCGGTCCTATCATCCTTTGTTGTCACCAATACTAGTCTCACCGATTTTGTTTGTTGGCAAAGACTTTTGTGATCTGGAGCTCCACCGAAGTAAAATGATTTGTTTCTCCTTAATGAAGGAGATGTTTCTGAATCCATTGTGTTGAGTCGTATAGTCAAATTGCCACTCTCTCCCCAATAAAAGGTGGTGGGCATTCATGGGGGCCACATTACACCACACTCAATCTTGTAGCTGGCTCCCAGTCTAAAACTTCACGAAGCAGCTCCGATCAATGTTGATCCATTTTTCCTTCCTCAACCACGTTGAGAATATGGTTGGCAATGTCTCTTAGCCATGAGGCTCAACTTCTCTACAATATGAGTAGGCACTATGTTGTTACTGCTCCCTCAATCAAATGATGAGACCGCATACCTTCTTGTTCATGGTGCAACGGGTGTATAATATATGTGACGAAGCTAATGTGAATTGTTTGTATCCACGTTCTGTAGGACTCGTCAAACCCAAGCTCCTCTCCATCCAGTAGAAGATGATACATCTCATCTTTTTCCTCAGCTCTCTGATCGTTGTCAACCTCATCCATAACACCTATTTGATAAAAGACACAACTCGGCTCGTCGGACATTTTGGGTGATGTGCCCAAATCCCTGATCTGAATTATTTTCTAGCTGAGACTGTAGTAGGCGTGTTAATCTTATTAGGTTTTTTCTCACTAAAGGCAGCTTTATACTTATCTGAACCAATTTTCTCAACTTTCTGAGGTGCGCTCCTGCTGGTGTCTTCAAATGTGGGTGGTTGTCCGCTCTGTTTCTGCTGCATTCTCACTTCAATGCTAAGGTTTGGACATCTCCAAGTGACCAATAAGGCTGCAGTTACACCACATTGCTAATAGCGGGCTTCAAACCCCCAGATAATAGGATATGGTGTGTTACTCTGGCTCGACTAAATCACACTTCATCTGTAACTTGTTAAACTAATCATGAACTCCTCCAGTGTTAGGTCTCTTTGCTATAGGTGGGGGATTCTCAGAAACATGTCATGGTGTTAATGGGGTGAGGGGTATTTGCCCGACATTGCTTTTTTCATTCTTTCCTCATTTGAAAATCGTATCACTACCTTCTCTTTTTCTGCACGTCTACAGGTTTTCCCACCACAGGAAAGTGTTGTTTCTCAATTTGATAGCTGCAATCTTTACCCTTTTATCTTTTGGCACTTTTTTGTACTCAAAGATCCTGTCAACTGATTTTAACCTTCAATAAAGTTGTTTGGATCCATAACTCCATCGAACTCTGGTAAATCTACCTTGATGTCGTAGTCTCTATGTTCTCCAAATGATGTCTCCTCTGTAGACTTTCTTTGATACTGGATTCTAAAACACAATGGCCTTTCTTTTTCATCATTGAAATCGTCCAAAGAAGGGGTTGAAATTCTCGTCCATTTTGCCTCTTAAAGTTTCTCTGTCACCATCAAGGGTTGGTCTACCTTGAGTGTCATCCTCAATGTCCGCAAGTTTCCGCTTAAGTCGACAGATCTCTTGTTGTATCTCTTTCTTGGTAGGCTCAGACATGTATCTCCTTGGTGGTGTCTGTAGAGTTTAGAGTTGGGAGGTGAAAGTGAGTGTAAAAAGTTGATTTAGGGTTGTTGATTTTAAAAATCAACAAGGGGAATTTAGTGTTAGGTCAAAGTTTGGCTATGGTTTGGAAACATGAAAGAAAATTTTTCGTAGAGGGGTAAGGTGGATTTTAGGAAATTCTAGAATAAGATTAGGGTTAAGTTAGCTCTGATATCAAATGGTGCCAGAGTTAACACAAAGTCTGATAGGAAAGCAAATTTTATTACTCAAAATAATATATTTCAATTAGGGCTTCAGTCTAGGTGGTGGTTGGTTCGGTGGATTGGAAGTGGCGAGACTGGTTATAGGAGGCGGGCGTTGAAAGGTGGTAGTGGGGCGGCAGATGAGGGTGAGTGGGTTGTGGTAGGGAAGATGGTAGGGAAGGAGTTGATTGAAGTGGGAGACAGCAGTGGCAGGGTTTTTATGTGGGACGGTTGTGTGGTGGGAGAGTTGGTGACAGAGGACTGAAAGCAGGTGATGGGGGATTGGGTGGGTGGG